GTTTCAAGCCTTCTCTGTAACATAAATATTTGGAAGACAACAGCTCTAGCCTGGCTGGGCAGTTTACCGAGATACACCTGCCATTGCCATGGTGAGAGCCCTCGGAAAGGAACATTCTGGATGACCTCTGCCACTTCTCCCTTGCTGCTGTTGTTTATGGCTGTGCTCATTGTGTACAGCTGTCCAGTTTTGTAGGTTCCCAAGGTCCAAGCTCAAAGGGCCACACCTTGAGAGCATTCTTGCTCGTAGGGACTCTGCAGAGCCCTGAGACAGCCCAGTGTATCACATAGTGAGAAGGAAGAGCACGTCTGTACCCTGTGTTTATAAAGCACTGTTCCAAACTAAAGATTAAATACACTTCTCTTAACTACATGGTGTACCTCTTGTCATAACCTGGCGTATTATTAGAACTTCCTTTAGAACTTCCTTTTCAGGGCTAGCCATGTAGTCTGGTGGTTAAAGGAGCTGGATCTCCCACGGCTGACTGCAGTCCAAACTCCAGCCCCAGGGGCTTGAAAAACACACCAGGTGTCTATGAATGTGTGCTCAAAATCCCAAAGGGATGGAGAAATGAAGAAGGGAGGGCAGTGTGACCATACCTCATTGAGGGGTGCTTTCTCCCTCTCCCTCTCTCTTGTCTTCCTCTGGCAAGTTCACATGCCTTCGGATACTTAGAATAAAATAAAAATAGAATTTCCTTTTCAAAAGTCTCAGGCAAATGAGGCAGAATTACTTCAAGTTTTCACACACGCTAGAAATACTCTAGTGAATGATACACCTTCCGTTTCACAAAATATCTTCTACTGCCTCCCCAAATGCTCTGATTTTCAGCTAAAATGTCCGACTGGAATAATTGATCCCTCCAAGGAACAGATGATCTTGAGCATTGTTAACAAGTAACGGGCAATCATGAGAACTATCCCCAAAATGTCCATGTCTATGGACTTAAACTAGCTACTTAACCTGATGAAGAAATGTCTGTTCTCATCACAATGATGGTCCCCAAGGAAGAGGTCTGAGCCCTTCAACTATTTTCATTTCCCCTGGTCCCCAGCCTGGGACCAAGTATGGCACTCGTTTACTCACTTCTGATGCACTGCCACTGAAAACTGTATTTTAGGCCACCAGGCTCATATCTAACTTTTCTCCTTTTCTTGCAAATGAAGCAAACACATGATGTAGAGGTTTCGTGCAGAACAGAGTCTCATGAGATGCTCGCTGTTCTTCCCATGAAGTGGATAAGGCTTCCATCCCTAAAAAAGGGAGAGTCCATCAAGCTCATGTAGTACCTGGATCACTGATATTCTAGGCCCACATAACTCTTTGTGGTTTTTTTTTTTTTTTTTTTTTTTGGTTGCTGTTTGTTTGTCTGTCTTTTTAATGGTCAGGAGCTAAGAGAGGCTGCCCCTTATTGGACCAATGTAATTTTGAGACCAGGAACTTTTTACTTTTTTGCAAAGTAAAACAAAAAATCTATTGTGTGAAACCTGTAGCAGCATCAACCATTCAGCCTCTGAGACACACCGTAATACTCTACTTTTCATGATTTCCCATGTTGCATTATTATGGTACATTTAACTGAAACAAGTTTACAGAAAAATCTCTCTCTCTCAGCCAGCCCTGAAAGTTCCCATTTAAAGACTACTCTCTAGAGAGCCAAGTGTATACTGACTTGTCACTTCTAGTTGGCTTCAAAGTGAAATGAGACTCCTGGCTCCGTTTGCCATAAATCATCTTATGACTAAGCCATATTAATTGTTTTTTTCTTCAAAGGGACATTCTAGTGAAAATAAACCGTAAGCAGAAAAAGACACTGGCAGAGCTGGGTGGGGTAAGGAGGAGGAAAAACTAGTAGGATTATTATGTTTACTATTTACAAAGAAGAAAAATAAGTAGAAACACAGATAATATATGAGTAAATTTATAGCACATAAACAAAAGAAAGTATCTCAAAGAGCCACCTAATGTAGTCAAAACACTTTACCTGACTTGTCAATTTAAATAAGCTAGGGCATTTTATGGCTTCTTCAGTGAAACCCTTCCTCTTACCTTCATATGTAATGCTGACGTCAGTTGGAAGAGTTACTGTAAGGTCCTTGTACAGTAATCTAGCACAAAACAAGAAAGACTGATCTTCTGGATCCACTTTGTAAATAAACGACAGCAAGTTGCACAGTGAGTTTCTCTGCAAGGGCCCAGTCAGAAAGGTTGCAAAGTCACTCTACCGGGGTGAGAAATAAAATAAAGGACATGATTAGAGCTCCAGAGGCAGTGGCTATGACACTTCAAACCAATTCCTCTTCCTCTGCTCTGCATCTGTACACATAAGTGGTACTTCATAAGTCCTTCCTGAATGAAAAGTAAAACTGTATTCTTCTACCGTTTGGTAAAAACCTGAGGGCCACTATTAAGAGTGCGTCATAACCTCTTAACCAGTCTCTATACTTCGGCATTATCCAGTTTCAGAAGAGGCGGAGAAGAGAATAAAAAACAGCTTGTCTATAAATAAACAAGCATTAGAAAGGCAATGGTGAAACTTCTGGCTCAGAGTTAGGTAACATTTAAAAAAAATAAAGTTCCCTTTTTACTTTCTTCTTCCAATCTACCTTGAGCACCGAAAATGGGGTAAATAGGATTCCAAACAGATACCTGAAGTCGGTCTGCCTGGTACTTCCTCCCAGAGTAAGCATTCAGGTACTCGCTGAGACTGAACAGGAAGTGCTGAATATCAGTCTGTAAGTATTTTGCAGCTATCTCTTCTAAAGGAATGAAGACAGGGACCGAATGGTGATGAATCCGGAGTGGCTTCTGCATGACAAGGTCCACAAAATAGGAATCCAACAGGTTCCCTTCAAAAGCAGTGCTGATACAGACACAGACTCCTCGACTGGTTCGTTTACCACTGAGCCCTAAGGCAAATGGTAAGACAATTCCTCTTAACAGATGTAAAGGTAATGCCTACTCACCCGTGCATCCCAGGGGCTTCCACGGTGCTGCCTAGCATATATACACTTTGTGCACTGATGTTTGCTGGATGAGTGAGTATCACAGGCTCTATTTCCCTCTTTGACCTGGGGAAGGTTTACCTTTGACTCAAGATCTCTTACTGAGACATTGTTAAAACTGTGGAAGGGGGGCCAGCAGGTGGCTAGGTACTATGCTCCCACATGGCCAACTGTGCTTCAAGCCCCAGATCCAGCAGCTTGAAAATCACACCAGGCACATGTGCGTGGATACCTAGAATCCTGACAAGAAGAGAGGATTGTGATGTGGCCATCCTCTCTGGGGGGTGATTTCTCACTTTCTCTCTCTGTCTCTCCAGCAAGCACATGCACCATAGGCAAAATCCTAAAAAGAATCCCCCCAAAAAACAAAACAAAGCCATGGAAGAATGGTGAAAAAGAAAAAAGCATCCTAAGTACCAAATTACTGAGAAAGAAATTTCAGTTTTCATTTGATCTCTTTTCTTCCCAAGGCACAGATGGGAGAATAAATCTCAACTTATGTTGAAATAGAGATTTGAGAGGTTCAACTTTTACCATGGTCATAAAAGCAGCTAGCTCAACAGGAAGTTGTAGGACAAGGTGCAGCATATGATGAGCTGCTAAAACGAATTATGTAAGACAGCCCTAACCAATCTTCCACTGTCCAGAGGCCAACCCTGTAGATACAGATACGCCCACCAACAGCATGCTAGCTTTGTATGGTCAGGATGGGGGTGCAAAATAAATTCTCATGGAGTAAGTCCAGGACTAACACAGCTAACAAACTGACTCAGTAGGGAGAGAGACACCCGGACTGACTGAGGCTGAAAAATAATTATACCAGTGAAAGGATATGCTTGCAGAATGGCTTTCACATGTTCTCGTCTTCTTTCCAAAACTTCTTGCTCACTGATCTCTACTGTTCGGTTGGGGTCTACTTTGGCACTAGAAGCTTTAATCTGTAAGACATGCAACAAATCAAATGGGTCCAAAGGCGTATACTACAAAGTCCCTGCTCTGACCTAAATGGAAAAAGCTAAATGTACATTATTTTGGATTATGTAATAATGCATCAAGAAGTGCTACAGTGGTTGTCAGCATTATGAATTCATAGAACAGAAAGAATCTTATGGGTCACAGTACTAGGAATCAAAGTAGAAACTGTGCTGGATCGAACGACAGTTAGGGTTTTGTGAGAAGAGGAAGAGTGTAAGGACAGTCTAGGATGAGAACAGTGTGAGTGAAACACCCGGCTCCAAAGAGGCAAGGCTGGGAGAGCTGGTATGGGTCAGACTGCAGTTTCAAGTGCAGAGACTCTAGGATGTACCCCTCTCCTATGGCCAAGCAGATGGTTTTAGGCTAACCCTCCCACTGAGAATAACTATGTAAGCTGAATAAAATACCAAAAACAAGCAAGCAGACAGAAAATGTTTGACAGTATTAGAGAACAACCCAAATAGGCAGGAGTGAAGAGCAGAGACCAGAGCTCTGAAGTCAGCTGGCTTTCTCTGAAGCTTCCCCTCACAGCATTTGCTGATTTGTGTCGCAAGGCACTCAGGCCAAAGAGAAAACGTAGGCGAGACTCTGTAGCAGTGCACTACCTAGGAAAGTAAGAATCTGAGATCAATATCAAAGCAGCTTGTCTATGCGCCAAGAACTCCGGTAAAAAGAAATTCTGCCTATGGTTTGCATTTGTTAATTCCTCAACTGAGCATGTGGGACAGCGTACCAAGAAATCAAACAGAAAGAAACTGCTAAAAGTGCAAAAGCTAGGCAGATATTTTAGCAGAACAAAATCTGGAGTTCAAGGCCTGCCAAGAAAGAGGGGCCTTAACAGACTCGTCCCTGACACAAACCCAAACTTTCAGTTGAGAGCCTTAAAATAGGGCTATGCTAGAAGTACATGCAAATGGGAAATAGACCCCTCTCAACTGGGATTAGGTGACATGCCCATATACTGCCTGCCTGCCAGAAGAGCTTAAAATGACCTCTTCAGGAAGATAATATAACTGAGAATTCCTATATATTTTTTCATACACAATATCCATCACTGAATTTTAAAAAAAATCACCAGATGTACAAAGTAGGGAACAGATGCCAGAAAATTAAGGGAAAAAGAAAACAAAAGAAACAGATCCACGCGGATTCACCTTTTTGAGTTACCAGGCATGGCCATTAATACAAGTTAAAGGGCAGAGAACTCATACCAAAGAACTGACATATATGTAAAAGAATCAGATGGAAACCTAGAACCAAAAAATACAGTAACTAAGATTAGAAATGTAATAGATTTAAGGGGTCGGCAGGTGACATGGTAGTTAAGGACACTGGACTTCCACATGGCCCACTGCAGTTCAAGTCCTGGACCTGGTGGCTTGCTTTCTCACCCCCCACCCCCCCGTCCCTCTCTGGTCAAATTTTAAAAAATAAATAAATGGAAAATAAAGTTAACTAAAATAATTCTTAAAAAAAAATAAATTTAATAGCTTTAAAAGTTAACAAGACAAACGAGTGAAATAAAAAAACAGATATATTTTCCATATCCAGACTTTTTTTTTTTTTTTTTTTTTGAGAAGTTTTTGCTATAGGGCACGTGTGCTCGCCAGAC